TCCAAGTCCCATTCCTTTAATTTTAATATAATTATATTAGATTCTTTTGCATATAATTCACCAGCCAGGAGGTCCAATGAAATAATGGATTGAGTGTTCATCCCAAATCTGCAACTAACTACTATATGCTATAGGAAAATAAATCAGTTAAAGCTCTAAGAGTCAGGAAAATTAAAAAAAGTAAACTTAAAAATATTAAAAACCTCAAACAAGCAAAAAATTAAAAGCTTTGGAAGATTCAAGATGCTTCCCTCCAGACACTTAAATTGATTCAGAATAAATCAAGACTAAGGAAAGGTGGAATATTCTGGATTATTCAATGTCCCACTCCACACCAACCTGCTCTAAAAGGGACACAGGAGAATTAGAAATTGGCTGGGAGGGAGAAAAGATTCCAGGATTTCATGGGAAGTCCAGGAGCTTAGGGAGGTATCTGGAAAAGTTGTTTGTTTTCTTTTTGACTTGGTCTTATGAATAAAAAAAAATAAATGTATAGCTGCTGTAAAGTAGAACTGGCTGATTTTATAAGGTGGCTCAAAAACTGACTTATCCCTTCCTATTGATGGATAATGTTTGACTTCCTGAACGTTTTATTTTCCAGTATAAAATACAGGATGGTCCAGCAGGAATCCACCCTGCCTGTCCGTGGAGCTGCAAATTCCACAGGAAAATCCCCAGGAATCCAATCCTCAGGAATTCCCAGCACTGCCAGTGGCAGCTGCCTCCCCATCCCGTGGCTCTGGAGGCTGAGATCCCAAAGAAAGGCACACAAACCATGTCCTGCAGCTCCTCTCTCATAAACCAGGCATCTGGGGGAGGCTCCTGTCACATCCGGGGAGGGCAGCAACAGGGACTGAGAAATATTTGGGGACATCTGACCTGGAAGGAGGAGGAGGAGGAGGAGGCTTTGATCTGATGGTTTCCTGCTTGAAGGTTGCAATTATTCCTTACTAAAGCCTGGTTTTACTCAGCACATGAAATCCTCCTGCTCTGGGGGCTCTGCAGACAGGAGGGGTTTGCTCAAAGGTCTCTGGGAGGATTTGCAAGTGCTGGGGGGTGAGAGCTGGATCTGCTCCATCCCAGAGCCCCATGAGCCCAGCTGGGATCAGGAGAGGGACTGGGATTGGGGTTGGGATTGGGATGGGGATTGGGGTTGGGATTGTGCCCCACAGGTGAGAGCCCACCTGAGAGCTGCCCCAGCCCTGTCCCAGCCCAGGAGGAGCTGGAGCTGCTGCAGAGAGCCCAGAGGAGGCTCCAGGATGAGCAGAGGGATGGAGCAGCTCTGCTGGCAGCAAAGGCTGGCACAGCTGGCATTGTTCACCTGCACAGGAGAAGCTTTGGGCTGAGCTCAGGGTGGCCTTGCAGGGCCTGCAGGAGCCCCAGGAAAGCTGGAGAGAGACAATTTCCAGGGGATGTAGGGGCAGCACACAGGGAATGGCTTCCCACTGAAAAATTACAGCTTTAGATCAGATATTAGGAACAATTTCCTCCCTGGCAGGGTGGGCAGGGGCTGGGATGGAATTGCCAGAGCAGCTGGGGCTGCCCCTGGATCCCTGGCAGTGCCCAAGGCCAGGCTGGGCACTGGGGCTGGAGCAGCCTGGCACAGTGGAAGGTGTCCCTGCCATGGCAGGGCTGGCACTGGGTGGGATTTGAGGTCCCTCCCAACCCAAACCAGTCCCTGACTCACTCCAGGCACTGCCATTGTGCCTATGCCCGTTTTTCTCTCCTGCTCCATGTGGGTTTTTTTCTAAACTATGGCTTGACCCTGCCAGTTTTGCAATATAGGATGAAATCCTGTTGCATGCCCATGGGAGCTGAGAAATTCTTGTCTCAGGACAGAATTAGTGATTACCTCATCCTGCTGTTGAGCAGAAGCATTTTATAAACATTAAAGCCTCTTCCAAGGGCAGAACAAGGAGCTGGTGTTGCTCTCCTTGTGCCAGTGGGGAGCTAAGGCAGAGGAATGAAATTCCACTGATTTTGGGTGCTGAAGTGGAGAGGTTGGATGACAGTTTTTGGCTTGGGTGGCAGCACTTCTGCAGGTCAGGTTTTGGGTTCTTCAACAGAAGACAGGAACATCTCCAGAACTTTGGAGAAGAGATGAAGAGAAGCCATTTCTCCAGGGGATCTGTGCTAGGTCCTCTTCACCTCCACAGGGAGGAATCCACCCCAGTATCCCAATGTTGTAGGTTAAGAAGGAAGCGAGGTTTTTGGGAGGTTGTGATCAAACCAATCAGTGCTTGGATTTGAATATTGGCACCTGGTTTGGCCACTGAAGGTATGGACTGCCTCTGAGAACACAGGGGGTTAAAAGAGCAGAGAACTCCCAGGAGAACTCTTTTCCTTGGTCCTGGTCAGGGGAGGAAATCAGCAGAGCTGGCTGTGGGAGGGGAAGCCATGCAGCCAGGGTGAGGTAGGCTAGAGCCTCAGGCAGAGGAGGGGGTGAAGGACTGGCAAGATGGAAGGGTGGAGGAGCCTGAGAAGCATCGGGTCCCACTCCTACCCCCCTGGAGAGAGATAGAGAGAGAATGAGAGAGAGCTAGAGAGAGAGAGAGCCAGTGCCTGTGCTGCCGTGAGGTTTGATACGGTGCTGGCAGCACGGCCGGCCAGGAGTGGGGGATGCAGCACCTTCCATGGGAGTTCTGGGCAGACAGAACAGAAGATTTTAACCCCTTTCTAGAATAATGGAAACCTTAAAAATTCTGATCCTCCTGAGTCTGAATGAGGAGAGAGAGATGAAGCAGGAGGAAATGGGCAAGTGTGAAGAAAGCTGGTGCAAGTGAGAGATGTCCAAAGAGGTGGGAAGAATCCTAGGTTAGGAGATGATGGAGTGGCCTTGGGCTGGACTCTTCCCCTGTATGGCCATGGACAAACCCGTGTTTTTCCTGTGATGCAAAGACTGCATTTAGAGGGAGGCAATGCCTTGGAGCCAAGAGAGTGTGGTGAAGCAGTAGCATGAATAAAGACAGCTGAAGAGGGTGTAAGATACCCTGTGTCTTCAGTGGAGAAGAAGATCTCTGTTCACAAGGCCCCTTGGCCCCAGGGGGTAAATTTGGGGGGGACTGGTGTCCCGAAACTGAAAGGCTGCTGCTTTCTTGAAACTGGGCAAAGCATCCTTAAAAGGGGAACCCTAAAAGCAGTCTTGGCCCATGTGCAGTGGTGAGAGCACTGGACATGGAAGGAAGAAATCACAAAAGCAAATGTTCTCCAAACGGTGCCACAAATAACATGGAAACACAAGAGGTTTCAGTTGTGTTTCTGGGGGAAGCCTATGGTGCAAGGAGGGGACTCCTCTCCCCCTGATGGACTGAGAGTTGATTATTTGAGAAGCAGTGATGGACTGAAAGTTAATTATCAAAGAGATGGTGATGGAGTAGAAGTCTAAGATGTTATTTCATGCTGTAGAGGATACAGGGGGGAGGAGGAGAAATGTATTTGAAAGGTTTTCATTCTCAGTTTTGTGTCTGTTCCTTTTTAGATATTGTAGTTAATAAAGGGTTTTTTTCCCTTTATTCCTAAGGTGGAGCCTGCTTTGGTCTGTTCCTGATCACATCTCACAGAAGCCACTAAGTATATTTTCATGGGAGCACTGACATTATGCCAACCTCAAACCATAACCCACCCAACCCTGCCCTCTGGCAGTGGGAAGCCATTCCCCCATTTGTCACTACATGTCCTTGGAGAAAGTCCCCTTTCCTCCTTTTTACAGCATCCCTCAAGGCTCTGGAAGGGCTCTGAGGTCTCCCTGAAGTTCCTCTTCCCCAGGCTGATGGAACAGAGTGTGGTGGAGATCCCCCTTTCCCCTGGCAGCTCTCACCACTCCCATCTGGCAGGAGCACCACAAGGTGCTCAGAGGAGGGAATGAAACCAGGAGCCAGCCCTAGAGAGCGGATCCAAGGAGGACTTTGCAGCTCTGGAGTCCCCTGAGCTGCTCCAGAGCCCCTCAAGGAAGGCAGGGTTGGCCAAGCTCCTGTTGCACGCTGAAGGATGAGGAGGAGCTCGTTAATTGTTCTTTGGATTAGGCAGCCCCAGCAGTGGGGGTTGCTTAGCAACATCTCCCAGGCCTTGGGAGAGGCAGCAGCCATTTCAGAGGTGGCCTCCAGGAGCAAAACCACCCTGGGCAGGGGATGGAAGCTGCAGCACCTCCCAATGCACTGTGGGGCAGCCCAGTGTTAATTCCCATTTATTGTGTTTCCATGAAACACAGGATTACCTTAAACACCCTTAAGTGAGGGGCTGGCAGAGCTCACCAGGAGAGGAGAAGCTCCAGGGAGAGCTCAGAGCCCCTGGCAGGGCCTGAAGGGGCTCCAGGAGAGCTGCAGAGGGACTGGGGACAAGGCCTGCAGGGACAGCACCCAGGGAATGGCTTCAAAGTAGGATTTGATGGGATCTTGGCAATGAGGAATTGTTCCCTGGCAGGGTGGGCAGGGCTGGCACAGGGTGCCCAGAGCAGCTGGGGCTGCCCCTCAATCCCTGGCAGTGCCCAAGGCCACTGGGGCTGGAGCAGTGGAAGGTGTCCCTGCCATGGCAGGGGTGGGATGGGATGATCCCTGAAATGCCTCCCAACCCAAACCATTCCATGATTCTGGACTTTATCAAACCCCAAAGCTGTATTAGAAACACAACCAAGTCTTACTTGTTAATTATTAACACAGAAGGAAAGTAACCCATCCTGCCAACTCAGAGAGATTAGGTTGAGCTTTTATCAGAAAACACCCTAAAAATAGTTATTTAAAAAATAATAATATTGTTTATGTTGGGGAAAGTTCTGCAGTGCAAACACCACTGAAAACCACCACAAAACTCACAGCACTCAGAACAAACCACACAAAACTCCAAGCAGGACACACAACCCCCAACAACCACCCAGCACCTTGCTGAGAGCCCTCCCAGGCCCCACCTGCACCCCAAAAATCCCCAGAAGACCAAAGGGCTGGTCCTGGTGTCCATTTTCCAGGAGCAGCACTGCCAGGACTTCAGGAGAAGGCATCACCACGTACCCTCCTCTCTTGTGGCGCTCCTTGTGCTTGGAGATTTTGTAGGGCAGAGACCTCTCCCCCAGATTCTCCAGGTTCCTCACGATGGCTCCTCTCTCCATCAGAGCCTCCACGGTGCGTTTGAGCACGGCAGCTGTCTCAGGCTTGAAGAGAAAGAAAGAAAAGTGAGGAATTCATGGAAATCTGGGTGCTTTCTGTGGTGGAAAGGACACCTGCACTTGCACAGCTCAGCACTTGGAGAGGGGGTGCTGCAACCTGAAAAGTGGAAGCACTGGGGGACAGAATTTTTAGGAGCAGGTAATTCCTCAGGAAAATTTCCTGCCATTTCCAAGTCAGACCCCAGCAAAAAGAAGATGAGTTTGTGGATTTGACTCACCTTGAATCACTTGGTCTGAGCCTTGCACAAGTCAATGTTCCTAGCAAAGGAAAATGATGGATTGGGAACAGCTTTGGGGTCTTTACATCGTTGTTGTTCCTTAATATTTCAAGTGATCAGTGTGGGGAAAACACAAATCCATGGCTTGATATGGAGACAGCAATTAGCACCATTATATATAAATTATGTAAATCATTTACATCCTTATTTGCACTGTATGTGGGTAACTCTTTGAGAACCATGGGACATCCTGGGCTGGAAGGAGCCCACAGGGATCACTGCTGCAGCAACCCCAGCAACCCCAACAACCCCATTCTGTCCCTGGCAGCGTTCTCCAAAGGCTCCTGCAGCTCTGGCAGCCTTTCCACAACCTCATTTCAGGGAGTTGTGGAGAGCAATGACAAACCCTGCTTAACCTCCATGCAGATTTAAATGAAATTCAATAAAATATTGCTGGGTAAACTCCCTGCCCTCCATCCCTCATCCCCCAAGTGACAGAGAGGCTTTTTGTCTCTTTTCCACATGCCCAGGGATCAGCACATTCCCTGAGTGGCTGCAAGGCCAACATGAGGTGCAGTTTCTTAACACAACGAAGCCAAAGATTTGAGCCCCATGTATTTAAAAACAAAACCAGAGAGAAAGAACAAGAAAAGAAAGCCACAGATTTCTACATTCAGGATTGTAAAATTTGCAACCTTCCCCACTTTGTGGCCATACTCTGAAAACATCAACTAATTGTTGGGTTGGAAAGCTTGTCACTGTAATCCCTCTCATTCTCCATCTCCCAAAATTGCTATGGTTTATCCTGGCTTGCCTAAAGCCATCACCCAAACTAAAAATAAGCTGAACTCTGCTAACCAAGAGATCCACAGACACAGGTTCCTTGGTTTGCCTCAGGGCCAGCCCACTTGGGGACAGAGGAAATGGGCCTGCCTGGCTCGCAGCTTGGGAGCCACAACATTTTTTCCTGAACAGCCAGAACTAATTCCAGTCCTTACAGCCCAGCTCTAATTCCAGTCCCACAGCCCAGCTCTAATTCCAGTCCTACAGAGGTGGGGAGGGAAGAGGAGACAATGGGAGCTGCTGCTCCAGAGGGGATGAGGAAGAGCTCTCAAGAGCAGGATGGCCTGGTTTGGAATTCCAGCTCTGGACATCCCCAGGGCAAACCAGAGCCATTCCCAACTGCTGTCACCATCCCTGGGGAGCTTTGGCAGCGACCTGGGGCCACAGCAGTCAGTCACAAGTTGTCACATTGCTCTAGAAAGGTGCAGAATCCTGCAGGGTCATGGTGGGAGGGCCCCCAGTGCTCACCTGGAGCCACCTCTGGGTCACCCAGAGCCAGGGCACAGGGCTGGCTCCAGGAGGCTCTGCAATGTCCCAGGGAGGAGACTGCAGCCCCTGCCTGGGCTCTGCTCCAGCTCGGCCCCTGCCCAGGGCAGAAGTTGTGCCTCCTGGGAGGGGAATTGCTGGGCTCAGGCCCTGCCCGTGGCTCTGGGGCCATTGCTGGGCCTGGGGCAGAGCCTGGGCCTGCTCTGACCTCTGCACAGGGACAGACAGAGGGACAGCCAGGGACAGACACAGGGACAGCCAGGGCTGAGGGCTCCTGGAAGAAGGAACCAAAGGACTTGTGTCTACAGATCCAAATTCCCCACTCCTCCACCCCCACACGTTTTAGAGCTGCCCAGAAGAAAGCTGGTAACTCCACAGCTCCCACCGAGTCAAATGTAGCCCCAAGTGTCACAGCAGCCACAGGTGAGGGACACCCTGAACACTCTGTCCTCAGTTGGCCCCACCTCAAAACCTGTGTCCAGTTCTGGTCCTGCAGGAGAGACCTGGAGGGGCTGGAGGTCGGGCTCTGCTCCAGGGAACAGGGACAGGAGCAGAGGGAACGGCCTCAGGCTGGGCCAGGGCAGGCTCAGCTGGGCCAGCAGCAGGAATTTGCCCATGGAAAGGGTGCTCAGGCCTTGGCAGGGGCTGCCCAGGGAGCTTGGCAGTGCCCATCCCTACAGGTGTCCCAGCAATGTGGGGTTGTGGCCCCTGAGGATGTGGTTTAAAGCCACTGCTGCTGGTCCATGGTTGGACTGGATCTTCTTAAAGGTCTTCTCCAACCTCAGCAATTCTGTGATTCTGGCCTTTCCCTCTTTCCTCACAGTGTGTCAGCACAATCCCACACAAGAGCAGAGGCTGTTCCATGCACAGCTGGGGTGCCCCATCCCTTCCCCCCAGGATTAAAGCCACAAATGCCCCAGAAGAACCATCAAAGCAGCACCAAGCACCTCGTCCTGAGGGGATGTTGTGTATCAGAGGGAACAAAAATGCTCCCATGGGTTCTAGCAGTCCCACAGGACTCACCTGGCAACCAGGAAAGGTATAAAGGAAAGGGAACTGGGAAAAAAATGGGAATTCTCTGGTGGCAAAGTGGCTTCAGGCATGACCATCAGCCATGAAGCTCAGAGAGCAGCCTGGAGACAAACCAAATGTGGAAATAAAGCCTTGGAATGATGATACCTCCTAAAACATGAGGAGTCACCAGCCTGGAACCAGAGCTGTGTGAAAGGACTCGGCTCCACTGCTCCTTTTTCCATCTCATTTCCCCCAGAAAAGTCCAAAGGACAGAAAATCCAGCACTGGCTACGAAAAAGCTTTGTCAACCACCAAAACCTCCTCCAAGAAGAGTCTTTGGAAAGAGAAAAAGCAGCAAACACCAAATCCTCAGTAGTCCTAGGGCTAGGACAGTTCTCAAGTTCTTCTGGCCACTTGCTCAGTCCAACAGGAAGCATTTAAAGTCAGTGGGCACATCCCAAATTATAAACAGGAATAACTCCATCCCAATTACTTGATTATCCCTTCAATGTAGTAACAGCAGGATAAAATTATGTCTTTTTTTGGTTGCTCAGCAGTTACAAAAGGCTGGTCTGGAATTATTTACTGAGGTGGAAATCAAAGAAGGCAAAAATCCATGTTTAGAAGGGAAACTACATTTCCAGGCAGCAAAACTAAGGGGGAAAACCATTTCCTTGCTGTCATTTACTACTTAATAAAACATTAGAAATTATTAGTGAAAATGATTAAAAACTCTGTAATTACTGTAAGAGCATGAACGACCCAGAGCAGCAGCCCCAGGTTGGGTACAACCACTCTGGGCAGTCAGGAAAGGCCAAAATCCAGATAAATGAAGCATCCCAAGGAAACAGCAGATGGGGGAGCTGGGCTGATCCCCTGGGGAAAATGGGCTGTGCTGGAAATGTGCAGGCTGGAAATGGAGCAGTGGGAATGGGAAAACCTCCAAACCTGCCTGGAAGTTCAGGGTCTTCTCCAACCTCAGCAATTCTGTGATTCTGGCCTTTCCCTCTCTCCTCATGGTCTGTCAGCTCAGCACAACCCCACCCAAGAGCAGAAGCTGTTCCATGCACAGCTGGAGTGCCCCATCCGGGTGCTGTCCCTGCAGGCCTTGTCCCCAGTCCCTCTGCAGCTCTCCTGGAGCCCCTTCAGGCCCTGCCAGGGGCTCTGAGCTCTGCCTGGTGCTTCTCCTCTCCAGGGGAGCATCCCCAGCTCTCCCAAACTGGCTCCACAGGGGCTCCAGCCACCCTGGACTCATCCCAACATTCCCACACCTTTCTTGGAACCCCAGAGCTGGATCATTTTAGGGACAGCAGGATGTAGGGGCAGGTTTCTGTATCTACAACAGAACCATCTTCCCAAGAATAAAGGACAAATTGGAAACCCCAGGTGCTCCTGACCATGACAACCCTCCCATGCTCCCACCCCACACTGAGTGAACAGGAGAGACCATTCCAGAAATGCCACATAGAAAGTTACAGCAGGCACATCACCAAAAATAACTTGGGGGAAAGTGATGAAAATGACTTCTGAATTAAAATGAGCACCCCATCCTCAAACCAGATTTTAATTAGCATTTGGATGCTGTGTAAGGCAAAGAACTAGATGTGAATACGAAGCCCACGGACCTGGATGCAGAGGAAGCAGCAACTTTTAAACTCAAAGTGGTGCCTGAACTCTTCTGTTCCCAAATCCACCTTTCTTCTTCAAAGAATCTAAATTCTGTGAAGGATTTTTTAAATTTTTAACTCATTTTTTAAGATCAAAGGAAATTAGAGAAGAAATTAAACTAAAATCTAAGGAATAAAAGTACTCTATAAATACCAACTCACAGTTAAATTAAAACATCAATCCCAACACTGAATTTAATTCATTTTAGATAGTGGAAAGTCTTGAGAATTTCTAAAAGAAGTCTAAAAAGGTGCCTTTTAAATCTGAAATAAACAGCAACCAAATCCTCTATGATTTAGGGTAATTTTAATGGTTTATTACTAGAAACAGTTAAAGTAACAATTGGCCAAAATATCACAGAAGAGTTGGAAGGGATTTTAGGGATTATCCAGTGCCAAGGGCAGGGACACCTTCCACTGTTCCAGACTGCTCCAAGCCCTGTCCAGCCTGGCCTTGGGCACTGCCAGGGATGGAGAACCCTCAACCTTCCAGGCAGAATCAATTCAGAATCAGTTAAACCTCAGAATTAATTAAACACCTTCCTTGAAATTCCAGAAACTTCAACTCCTCTTCCAACTCCAACAAATTCTAAGAGCTTCAGAGTAACACTGCAAAGTTCTCCTTATCAGGAACTTGCTGAGAAAGATTTCCCCAGGAACTCCAAGTTGTGTTCCTGCCATGACTTTTGATGTGAATATATTTCATCCAGTTTACTTTGTATGTTCATTAAACTTAATTAAGAGTGGAAAGGAAAAA